CTATTCTGCACGCAACTGCACCGCTAGCAAAAGACCTGTATGCAAGTTCAAATCTCAAACTCAAATATACTTAGAACATGAGAATCTAGGACGCAGGATCGGCACTCTGGTGAAATCTTCTGCCGGTAAAAAGCCTCCACCTTTGTAACTTGATGTAAAAGCTTCTTCATACCTCAGATAGTATTGCATATGGTTACCTACTGCCTAGATTAACCAGTAAATTAGTTACTTTCAGTGTGTTCCAGCAGGTTTTTACAGATATCCTCACCTATTCAATGAATCTATTTCAGAAAATGAGTGGCTAATTAAGATCTGACGTATAAATGCAGAACAGACTCCGTGCTCTTTGGCAACTGAAGATAAGGACCTCCGATTGACAGCAATTCGGTTTCTTGCCCCACAGGAAGGATCATCTGATGGGCCCCATGAATATTTCAGGCAGGTATGCTGACAACAGAGCTGCAGGGGCAAAAATTGTTGCCTCCGCAACTTAAGTGAGGAGAACGAGGAGATAAGCAAATTCAAAAGGGCCCAAGACAGCGAGAGCCACAGGCTGTGTCAGTCCCTGAATGAGGCAGCTCAGCTAACAACAGATGTCCATCAAGACAGCCTCCCACGTTTACCTAGAATGGAGAAAGCAGGAGAAGAAAAAACAGCCACCAGCAACATGAAAGATGGCGTCCTGACATACTGTAACAAACCCATTTAAAAATAGAGAAAAAAAATCTATTTTCAAGAGTGGACAAAACGACAAGAGCATTGCTGACATCATCACACTCGAGGCTTTCATACTAACAGGCCTGTTTCTTATGCAAGACTCGTTATACATTGTGTGACAGGTACATGTATAAGTAGCCTTTTCTGAATTCCGTAGTTGCCCTAATTCTTAATTAAAATGACTTTTCTGATTAAAGACTGGGAACGACTTATCTAAAATGCAAGCGTGTACAATTTTCAAAAGCAACTTGCACCAATGCACTGAAATCAGGCTGAATTTTCTTAGAATTTAAAATGCTGAATAAGGTTCAGGGTTACGACTAAGAATGCAAACTGTACTCAAAAATCTGAAGAAAGAAAATGTAACGTATGAACCTTCTGCTGACAGCCTCCTGCACTGACACATTTTTAGTTCCCCCCGGAAAAACAAAAAGTATAAAAGCTTTGTGCTCACTGCTTGAATGACTTGCTTATCCATCAACCTCTTACCAATTAAGATAATATACGCTTGCAGTAACTCCTAAATCAATTCTGCCTTATGTGCAGCTGAAGAATGTGTTTATTAGGATGCACATGTCAAAAAATGTGAATCTGACATTTAGCCATGGCTGAAGTATAAAACTTCTGTTCCTTTTCTTCAACGATCAGATCCCTCCCTTTTCTCTTCAAGTGCTGCTCCCACTTGGACAATAATTTGGGAACTGCCACTGGCTTATCACAACGCCTCTGGTATTAGAGCAGGAAAGGTGCAGATGACATCTTTCTGTGTCCGCCCTTCATTTAGCATGGCAAGCGGACAAGCGGCACGGCCTCTTATGGACGTCTGTGGCAGCTCTCACTGATGACACAGCAATGCCCAAACGCTTCAGGAGTGCCCTTGAGCCTGCCATGAGTCAGCAAAGATCCTGTTGACTTCAAACCCACCCACATCTAAGCCGCCTGACCCAAACGTAGTCCATGCCTTGGGAAACCCCAGTCACAGTCTTCTAATGACAAACTGTGCTTTGGACAGACTCCTTTACGCGTCGGTAGCCGACTGGCAGTGCAGAAAATGTACGTTTCAATCCACAGAAAACTAGTTTGTAGACTTTACTGAACAAGGTGCCAGCTGTGTATAAATAACGTCACGTGTGTGAAGGGCATATGCAAACGAGTCATATTGTGTTTTTTTTTCCAAGAAGTGTCACTACCAACTAAGTGGAACAACCTAACTGTGCAAATATCCCAGTTGTTTGCCCCTTTGGAGAGGCAGAGATCAGAATGCTGTGCGAGTTAAATGTTTTTGCTTTGTGGCAAAACACCAGTTTGGTCTGTAATGTGAAATACCACCTCTTCCTGGGGTTCCTGCATGCGCAATCCTGCCACATATACTGGGAATGCCAATCACCTGGACACAGATAAACCCCTTCCAAACAACAGAAAGGGGTGCTGAGGGGGAAAAAAAAACTAAAACACGTCACTGATTCTCATGCACAGCGCTGCCCAAACATTTTAGAAGTTCTGGCATTTGTCAGCCATTTTATTACCTATGCTTAGCTTTTCAGAAGGAGAACGCCTGGTAAAGAAGGTCTCCTGTTAAAGTAGTTCAATTTACTCTTATCCTTCCCCTGTAATAACATGGGGGGGGGAGGGGGAATGAAAAAAAATCGTTACAGCACAGCACAGAAGTGAGTGGAAAAGGGTGGCGTGTCCATAACCCTAAAACTCTAAAGGGCTTTTTTCCAACTTAAACACAGCCCATTGTCGTTTGTCACTGTTCTTATTGAAGCCTCTCATGTTTATAAAAAAAATGAAATGTTTTGTTGACTAGTGCCTTCGTCTTCCATCTCAGCATATTTTTCAGATCTGTGGCTTCTGCGATCCAGCAGTAGAAGATTAAGATGCATTTGACACACACCGACCACAAATGTTCTGAGAATTCTTCGGCTCTTTTAATTTCCTTATATTGGATTATATCAAAGAACATGCAAAGGATGAAAATACCATTGATGGCTTGGCACTATCCTCCTTCGGTCATTCTTCCTGCAGCTCTAAAGTTGAAGAATATACAGGGATTAAAAATTGCTTTTGCTCACAACATTTCTGCATTCAGACTGCGGATGTTTTTAGATCATCTTGAAGTGACCCAAAATGAAGTCGGAGGTGTGGGAATTTCCCCTTGATAAGATCACACTGAAGATGAGCCAGACATCTTCATCTCTAGGAGTAATGGGAGTTGGTCAACCCCCTGCCCTCTCACACGGTAGTTTTCCGGTGCTTCAAGTTCGCTACCCTGTCAGCCATACCTGCTTCGAGCCCTGAATTAGCTTTGGCCAAGCCCGACCCCCCTCAGCACCGCTAACTCCAACCAAATCTCAACCTGGGAGGCTTTCTTCCTCAATCGAAAAGAAAAACAATTCAAGACCTCTGCTAATCCTCTACCAAAAACACATTAAAAGATGTCTACTGACGCCAACATGGATAATGAGATCAAAAAGGAGAAATTAACAGCTCAGATGGAATGAAAAACAACTGCCTCTGCAAACTTGGGAGACCGGACTGTGAGCCCGGCTGAGGACGATACAGAGTTTAATTCAAAGTCACAGTCAGCTACAGACAACAGGCCTCCCCTTGAAATCATCCGTCAGGATAGAAAAGCCTTAGTGTAGGATTACAAACCCAGCAATGCTGCTAAGTGAAGCTGGTGGTTTCCAATGAATATGTAACCTTCCTGGTAGTGCTGGCTCTGAGGAATTATTTCAACAGTGTGACCACACCATTTCGCATGCTTATTACAGAAAGGCATTTTTGAAAACAAGACCGAGTAAAGGCGCTTCACTGTGTTGAGCCATCCACTGCCTGTATGAAAACTTGACACTCTCGGGTAAGGGACACAAACCTTTAATAACAGATTTTAATCCAACAGCCCCATATACTTCCTCCCACAAAGAGAGAAATCTGTGCAATGATTTTTCTTAAGGCTAGCTACTGTCCTGCAGTTAACCGCCAAACCTGAAATAACCTGGCTGAACGAGCAGAGAGAAAGTGAAGCAGGACTGGTCTGAAATTCAGGTGCCAAAGCCGTGGCCGTTTCTGAACTGTGTGAGATAAACAAGACGGACTACATCTGTTGTGCTCTGGCTACAGCATTCATTGGTTTTGAATTCCAGGGCTTTGTACACAGAGGGAAAAAAAAAACACCTTTACAAAAGGTTCCAGACTTTTCTTGGCAAAGATTAAGCGTGTCAGCTAAAAAAATGATGTAAACTTAGACCTGCTCCAAGACCGTCAGGCCACAAAACACGTTAAGGAAAAGCATTGTTTTACTGACTACACGGCAGCTAGTTAGTCTGAAAACCACATTCTGAGGCTGAGGAAGAGGCCATAACTTCAGCACAAAGAAAGGTTTACGGTACAGAATGGGGTCTGTAGAGAAGGTAAAAAGTAAATTCGTGTGGAGAGTATTATTCTCCCAGTATCCAAGATGGTCCCCCTGCTGCAGGCCTCGGGTTTAATGGCAGGACGGAACCAAAAAGAAGATAACGTCTCCCTTTCGGAACAATATAATTAGCCACCCATCCAGTTTCTAAACTATTCATCCAACACAGCAACACAAGGGAGCCGGAGCCGATCCCGGCCAGCATCGAGCACAGGGTAGAATACAACCTGAACAGGACGCCAGTCCATCGCAGGGCACGCTTAAGACACAAACACAGACACACACTCACACCAGGGCCAATTTTCCCAGTAGCCAATTAACCTAGCAGTATGTGTTTGGACTGTGGAAGGAAACCACAGCACTCGGAAGAAACCCGAGCAAATCGGGGAAGAACATACAAACACCGTGTGGATGGCACCCCAGGTCCAGGATTGAACCCAGGGCCCCAGTGCTGCAAGGCAGAAATGGTAGTAAAGACTGCACCCTCTGTGTTGCCCCCATGTGATTATTAGAGCCCTTAATTACTTTTTGTTGTTGCACTGCTTCCAGCATTGGGGCTTTCTTGCTGCTTCTGAGCCCAGAACACCAAATGGAATTAGGAACGTGCTGCAGTCCAGTGAGTTGACATTACAGGATACAGACTTTACCGAGAACATTCAAATTTGCACTTTATAATGTACAACCACCACACTGTTAAAGTACTTTGTTAAATGCTCCTGCTGGTTATTTTTCTTTTGTCCTAATACCACACCCAATGCTTTAGTTGCATCGGATTTGTGTACAGAACGTTAGAAACTTCAATATAAGATACCAAAGAAAATATCAGGCCTCTATTTATGTAAATACATGTAGGATTTGCACTCACCAGGGGTGTCCATCCAGCATCTTTCTGAAGCACCTATTTTGTCACAATGAAATAAAAATGTACAATACATGTAAGAAGTCTTTTCATTGCCTTGAAGTCACTATTAAACTGGATACAAGAAACCCTTAAAGGCCCTACTGTCAGGTTTAACGTTCTACATCAAAAATATCCAGTTAAATGCAACACAATTCACAATACTTAAGACCCTAACACACAATATTGAATTGAACAGCACAAAGCAAAACTCCGCGAGGAGAGTGATCTATGATATCTGGAGGTGGATCAGGCTACGTTTGGGGAAATTAGAACTTGACAGTTTTGATAAGCAGAGTGTGCATTCACTGTATTTTTTCCCCATAAGGTGGAGAGGGGGCTGGGATATTGTTACCAATACTCCACTGTGCCTTCTTAATAACTCAATTCCCCCACACCCTGCATGCTGTGTGGGCCAGGCACTTAGCACACGTTTGGAGTGGAGGACAGGGGCTCCGGCTGGGGCTGTGGGAGGTGAGGGAGAGGTTATGCAATAATGGGTGAACTCGAAACAAAATGCATTAAAAAGCAGACTGCAGCTCAGAGCAGGTAACCGGAGACCTGGGGGTGCACGGTCAGCAAAAAAAGGGGGTTACAGGGGCCTGTCCCCTACCGAAGGAAGGGTCCTGTGGAGGAAAGGGGCGAGTTGTGGAAGGGGTACAACGGTTCTTCCCCCTCCTGTTTACAACAATAGGTGCTTTAGCGGAGGTGCGGACTAAAGTGGAGGTGCCGGGTTTGAGATTTTTTTTTCCCCGCCTGTACAGAAACCAAAAAGAAGGCGACAAACACACCGGTCTTTCGTGGCGACGCAGGTCGGTAAACAATGCGCCGCTGGGACTGGAACTAGTGCAGTTCGGTGTCCTTGTCGCCGCCCGGGTCCCGAACAATTTCCCCCACTTCCCAGCACGGTCCGAACCGTGGAGTGGGCCTCCTCCCCCCCCCACAACCCCACGCACCCTCCTCTCTGCTCCGGGACAAGCGCGAGCACCCCCCCCACGCGTGGAATCCGCCGAAATTTTAACGCAGGTGGCGTGAAATGTTCTACTTTCTCCCCCCCTCCTCCTCCTCTATGCGTGACCGCCTCTCCCCCTCCTCCTCCTCCTCTCTCTATCTGGTCCGAACAAAAACGGCTGAGGTGGTGGAGAGGCGCCTCGCCGCACCAATTGTACACACGCAGTCCAGGTCGGGCTGCAGTACCGGAGGCAGGAGACCAGCACCGCACAATGCAGAAAATGGGCATATTTTTGTATGTCGTTCGCGTTTCCTGGTGCTTAGTGGTGCTGTGTGTTTTCCCACAAGGCACTGCTGGCTCGCCGAACATTTTCAGTGACCGTCTTTACTGCGTATGCACACAGCAAGACGACACTTCACCAAGAAAACCCCTTGGCCGGGGGGGAAGAGGGATGAGGTCGGGGAGAAAGCATTAGTTAGCGTTTTTGGTGCTGATGTTTTGTTTACCGTTAGGTACCTCTCGCCTCCCATCCAACACCCCCCAATTTCAATCAGCGGAGCTCCACACATAACGCTAATCATGGTCCTGCTGTGTTGTACATTTCTGTCTTTTCGTACACCGATACCCCAAGCGAATGATGTCTCTGGGATCTGTGCTTAAATGAAGGCAACTGTGGAACAGCTTATGCATAACTAAATGTGCATTTTGCTTTTTTTTTGTCCTTTTTTTCTGGTTCATTTTTTTTTTACCTTTCGTTTCCTGGTTTCTGCAGTCCCGCTCCACACAAAGCACTGGTATATGAGTCGTAGATTCTGTTTCCAATTCTCCACCTTAAAACTGTTCACATGGGAGCACCCGGCCGGACTCATGACAGAAACAACATTCAATTTATTGTTTTTTGTTTTAGATAGGTAGAGCGTTTCGGAAAGAAATATCCAGAAAGGTTTTCCGATTTAAAGGGGCAGCCAGCCGAAATCCGTGGTAACTGGGACTTCCGAATTAATCCGTTTTTTTTAAATTAATCTCTCTGTCTCTTTAAATATTCTCCAGTCTGTCTGTCTCGTCCGCTCTCGCTCTTCCACTTCCACTCTCCCGATTCTTTTTAATGGTCGGCAATGGAATTCAACAGAACACCGCGAGCTTTGAAAGTCCCGCCTCACGCCCGACCTCATTGGCCACCGTCTGCAGGCCGGCGCCGCGGATTGGCTGGCGTGGGTGTCGTTTCCCGTTAGAGCCACGCCCTTGTGCGGTAAACGTTCCGGCCCGGGTTGGTGCTAGGAGACGTCATTCGCCATGAAGGCGGGGTTCCAGCGGATTCCCAAATCGACGATTGGTTAAAGACGGAGGGAGCAATTGCCGAGGCCGTCTGAGGATCCGTAGTGGTTTCGGTCACCACACATAAGAAAAAAAAAAAGAGAGGTGTTCTTCCTTTAATGAAGGGTAGAACCTGCTGCAGGGAGAGATGTTATACGTATAGGGGCAGCCGAAGAAGCGCGGTCCCTTTCTGGTTGCTGTTAAAATAAAAAAAAAAAACGCAGAGACACGAAAGCGGGAGGACGTTTGCAGAAATGTAACGTTACAGACATCCGACTCCCCCGCCCTGGCAGGCTAGGCTGTTGCTTCGCTGTGATTGGCGTAGCCGAGCTGGTTTCCCACACCGCTCAGGTTGTTGTGTGGGTGTTCCGGCCGTGTCGTTTTGCGTCACTTCCGCCGCTGGTTCTGCGTGCTCAGTTGCCTGAGAGATTTCCAGCGGAAGCAGCTCAGCCGGGGCTGCGCACGCCGGCGCTTCAAAACAATACCGCCGGGTTTGCCAAGCCGTCACGTTTTTCGGAAACGGCTGCCTTGTCCTCCCCCCCTCCCAGTCGTCTACCCTGGCTCCCCTGCTCCAGAGTTACACTACCGCTGTGGTGGCAAGCTTTAGGGTTAGCTGTTAACGACAAACAACGACTCACGTAGAGGAGGAAAAAAACAACCCAAACGCCAGGGCTAGGTTTTTAAACAGACGCAAAGGCGTCACCTCGCTTGCGTTCCTGTAGATTTAAGTTTGGCCCCTCAGTTTTAAAAGAAATAACCCAGTTTGATTTGGAATACATATTGGCAGCTGTTTTCAGGAACAAAGTTTCGAATCAGGCGTGATTTTGTACAGGGGATACTCAAAAATTGCCTTAACTCTGCCATATCGGAACGGATTACGTTAGATGTTGAATGATTGGGCTATAATTTCCCAAATTTAGACAGTAATACATTTTATTGAATATATAACATACACTGAAGTAATATTAATAATACAGTACAACCAAGTCTTGGAACAGTTATTGAAGCTGGTAAGAAGAGGTTTTGGCATTACAGATGTAAACATCCTGATGTAGGCTTTGTCTGCCGAAATGTTGACCGCATTTAAATATACTTTTTGGAGAAGAGAGAATATAGCAACACGGATCATCTTAATGTTAATAATGCTACAAGGGGGTGGCATAATCAAGATGGACAGTTATAGCTGCAGTTTACTGCAGTAGCTTCCAAAGTCAAGTAAAAGAAAAAGGATGAGCCATCTCAGTTAAAGGTTAAGGTGAAGTTGTTTCTAGAAAGCATCTTCCCAAGTGACATGGATGGATTAATGTATTGGAAGGGTTCATCCTAACTTTGGGCATTGAACCCATATTTTGGTTAGTTTAACATATGCAGAGTAAACTTTAGTGCTCTCTCTCTGCTACAGCCAATTGCTGAGCATGTGACAGACAAAACCCCCTGTGTTATCAGATCAGATCAGGTATATGGAAGTCTACTTCAGTGTGATCTTGTCCACATTGCCTTTCAACTGTACCAACCCAGTATGAACCCCTGCAAAAGTCACGTGGTATATTAATATACCTTCTTATGAAAACCCATTCTGCACAGCTTTTCTTGTGGACAGGTGGACTAAATTCACCTGTTAAAAACCTGAGCAACATGGAATGTATACAGAAGCTCCATTAGGGAAGGGATGCTTTCTCCCTTTATTTTACTTTAGTTACCATTTTTTGCTTGAAAATTATGAGAATACTTCCCTTTAGTGCTTTAAATTCTCCATCAGTTACTTATATACGCTGTATACAAAAGATGGCTCCAATCTAAACTGCTTTTGGGGGCTGATTGTACCTTTCTATGTGTGTCAAGTCTGGAATAGGAAGTTGATATACTGTACATGTCCTAATATTTTACAATTGTAGGTCCCAGTGGGAGACTCACAGAAAGGATTCAAGCACACCACAGCACAATTTGCAAACATATCAATTATAAACATAATGAGTACGTGTTTATATACTGTATATTTTGTTTACATATATATAAACCCCATTTATATACCAGTGGTCTGTAGATCAATCTTGGGGCAACATCCATGTCTGGTTTTCCTTCAAACTGGGCCCTTGATGACCAGTGATAATTGATGCCTGTTACTGATGTTGTTTAAACATTTTGCTGGACCCAGCACTCATCAGCACATGGTTTCAAAAACACCCTAGTGAAAATGAACAGTTTCCAATAACTTCAGCATGGATAACTTTACTCCATCCCTCCACAATCTAGTTAAGAATTTGCTCCCTTCTTTGCGATGAAAACCCCTTCGTAGGTGACCGATTCAAGATAAGCACACGCAGGTGGGAAAGACACTTAAGTGTTTGCTTTTCCCTCCTGCTGAAGTCTAACTCGCCGCCTGAGTGAGAGGTGGGTGTTGAAAGGGGAATTGAGTGAAAAATTAAAAAACACCCAAAACAGAAAACTGAAATACATTTCAATTAAGGACTTGACTTAAGGACAGATAATGTAGTGGTCCTTCAGGACCAGGTTTGAGAACCATCGAGTTGGACCAATCTATCCGAATGAATCTTTTTAATCTCACTGTAATCAACCCTAAATCAGACACCATTGGGATATGGCACTATAATGAATGGTGAATATCCTGTATTCTTCAATTCTAAACAACCTTTTTAATCTATGCTTATTAAATCTGATTACAGCTAATAAAATATTGTGGTAACCTGCCAGTGAGATTACAGATTTGTTGTGCATTGTCTTGTAAATGATCCCTCTTTTAATGATGCAAAACGTTTCGTATAATATCCTAAATATTAGTGTTGGAAGATGAATTGTGAAGCATAGCAAGGTGGAGTAAGTGGGTCCTGACAGTGAATCCCCCTGGTTTCACAATGATGTTGCAGATGCGACATTGCCTGTCTGTCAAAGATGAGATCAAGTGTAAGACCAGGATCATCACTGAATACAATTAGAGCACATTCCAAATGTCTGGAATGTGCCCAGTCACCCCACATTTACCTGTGTTGTACACAGCGATATTGTTCATGAGTAAAAAATATTAAAAATATCTGTCTTACTCCATAAACCTTGGATCTGTTAGCCACTTATAATATCCAATAACCAAATGAGCTGCACTGGCTGAATGACCTCTACTTGTTTGTAAGCATGCTCATATTCAATTCAAGTACTGTTTCTTTTTTCAACATAGGAGTTTGTTTCTGTGGTGTTTGTTTTAGCCACTTCCAGAAATCCCCCCCCCCAAAAAAAAAAACAAACAAAAAAAACAAAACAAAACAAAACCAGAAATCTTTTATTTCCACATTCCCCAACGGATAGCACCGAATTTCTTGCACTTGCTTTCAAGCAATTGGTTTGCAAATCCAACGGTTCACTTCGGATGGGACGAAAAAAGAACAACGAGCGCCCTCTTCCGGCTCTTTTCTTTGACAAAACGTGAACTCCACAGCGTTTGAACAGATATGAAGAATTTAGTCAATCCTGAACTTCCAATAAGCACCCTTACAGACAAGCACCACCTGAGATCCATCATTTTTGCATTAATCGAGTGTAAAAATATGTTTATATTTCAAGTGTGACGATCTAAAAATGTAGCAAATTTTGCTCTGTAGGGAAAAAAAAACATTGCATGAACAAGAACTGCATATATATTGCAAAAGTTTCAAACTGGGAACCCCCTACCAAAACATAACGCAAGAAATATAATGGTCACGAAAATACAAAAAAATACACGGAAAAAATAATAATGTGTAATTCTTATGTGGCGAAGGTGCATTGTAATTTAAGGTACAAGTCTGCCCTCCAATGCTAGACAGACGAATTACACAACGCTTTTCTGGTGCTCCAGCTCCCCGCTAACTTCCGTTTTTCAATCCATCTGAGCTCGTAATTGCTTAGGCTTATTAAACCCATAATTGGAATCGAATTTAATTTCAAAATTATATTTCTTAAGCACGTTTTCTTCCACTTCGTTATTGATTTCGGATATTCCCAGATGTTAGTGTGTTGATCCAAGATATGTAGCAAACTGAGCTCTGCCGTGTTCTCCGCCTTCGACACTTGGAAACTGACCTGCCTGTTTTGTGCAAACGTCTCAGGTATCTTCTAATGGTGGTTATCCGAGTGCCAGAAGCCTCCTGCATCAATTCAATTAAAAGCTGTGATCCAGTTCTGATTTAGAATTGTAATTGGTGTGTAGATCGATTTAAAGCAGGCCCCCAGTTTGCTCAATAAATAGCTGATCACCTATTTCTGTCTGATTAGCTCTTAACAGAACACCATTTAAAGATATACGGGTAGGGAATTGCTCTGTATTTAAAACAAATGCAATTAACCTAATTGATTTTGGATAGGTCCAGGTGTTCATAGATAAATAATGTGCCCTATTCCAGGATTCAGTTTATTGAAATACTACATCTGAGTCAACAAAGTGATTATTACGGGTTCCCGACTTCTAACAGGAGCTGAAATAAGAGCTAATGAAGCAAATGGTTCCATGACCAAAGGCTGCAGTTACATCTCTGAGCTCTGCCCTGGAGGGGGTTGCAGGTTCAAATCCCAGGTGTGACACTGCTGCTGTTTCCCTGAGGAGGCTGCTTCATCTGCACTGATCCTGGAAACTCCCTGGTGTATTAATGCGCTTATAGGTTGTTTTTTATCAATATGAGCTCGTGCTTTAAGCGGTCAAAAAAAAAGAGTCAGATCTACTGTGCTTGTGAGACAATTGATTTTACAGGCCTCTGCAGCAGTGGGTCTCAGCCCTGGTCCAGGTTACCCATGAACCTCTCGGCTTTTGTTCGAGCCAAGTGGTCAGCTACCCCATCGAAATTTGTAATTGACTTAGTAACAGGAATAATCTGAACCCTGTGACTGTTTTCAGATTCTCAACCTACTGGAGGTATAACCTTTTAACTATTGCATTTTCCTAGATAAAATCAAATCCCAAACTCATGAGTTGGTAAAAAAAAAATACTTGCTAACCAAGCAGCTCTTTATTTAATTAAGGCCCCAATTAGGCAATTGAAAACCAGCAAGTGTGTTGGCCTCCAGGACTAGGATAAGCAAGCCTTGCTTTAAAGAGATAGTGGAAAGGTACAGTATGTAGGTACAAAATGCATGTGCTCTGATGAAGGAGGTGTGTGTTACTAACAGTTTGGAAATATAATCCTGGATTCGGTTCAGGACTGGAGTACTTTCTGTGTGGAGTCTGTATGTTCTCATTGAGTCTCCCCCCCAGACATGTTGGATAATTGGGGTCTCTGAAATCTATCTGTGGACTTTGGGAATGCGTTCTACTCAGGATGTGTGCCCGCTTGATGGAAAGCAGGAAAAAGTGCCTTTTAATGTGTGACTAACAAATACAATCACGAAGTGCCACCTGCTGGTCGTTGGAAATCAATTCGCTTCATTTTCTAATGTTCAGCTCTGTTTTTAGACTCGTGTCAGTACTTCACACCTTATCGCAAAGCCCTGATCCTTACGTTGTTATGTAATGTAGCCGTTTCTGTCGTTTTAAGTATTTATATTAGTAATACTGGTGCAAAACCGTTTTGCGAAAGTGTTGAATGCAGCGGTTTTTTCGAAATGTGTTTATTGTATAAATTAAAGTTGTTCTACAAAGGCAGGGGTGAGCTGGAGCTCGTAAAACGTGTTTGGTTCCGAGCGCTGCCCATCGGTTTCGCTTTTTTTTCAGTACCACGGTCTGTGAGGACGTCACCGCTGAGTCAAGAGGTGACTTGCACAGCCCCGTCTCCTCCACCTTGACACTGAATGACTCAATACGTTTATCTCGATACACCCTTATCAGATTGAAAGGGGTATTCAAGCGTGTTACTGTGTGACTCGTTGACTGTAGTGGAAGCCACCTTTTATTTTAGAACTGTACTAATTCTGAAATTAAGCTTCAAACTAAAACGATCCTTTGTTGTAGGTGCTGTAGCTGTAGGCGTCTTACTCAGAGGTCTGGGAAGTTCTCTAAATATTGTCTTCAAGTACCAGTATGTATTTTATCGGATAACAAATCAAATCGCGTATATATATATATCGAAGACTAGAGGGAGCACATTTTTGTCTGCTAGCTGGATTTGCAAGACAGGCAATACAGCTTTATTAGTTATCTATAAAAGAACAATAGTGAACTCTAGTGGTACAGTAAAGCATTACTGTGTTTGTCTCCCAGCTCAGTACAGAGTGAAGGTCTGCGCATCGTGTCGGCAAAACCATCACTATACGAACAGCAAACACATACTGTACCTTTTCACAGATTGGTCTTTTCTGGATCTTAACCTACTTAACCAATGTCCTGTAGGTTTTCTTTTTCTGACCACCCTTAATTTTTTTTTACAATAAAATAGCAAAAAATAGTAACGAGAATAATGGAAATTAATATAAAAAGATGAAACATCCTAAAATTCACACACTTTTAAAGCTGACCAATGCAGAGATAATCTGTGTAGTCTAGACCCACACACCAGCTGGTTTTCATTCCAGACCACCTTCATTAGATAATTGAAGCCTTAATTGATCTATTGAATATTTGTATTTTGTTTCTAGTCACAGGTTTGGGGTTTCATTTCTCTCACAAAAATGTAATGGTTAACCCTACAAAGTGTTTAAGAGCTGGAAGCAAACAGTTCAAATCAATCATTATTATAATTGCGCCAATGAAGAGTTTGATTGTGTAACTGAGGGCTTAGCTGGAGCAAAAACCAACAACCAGCACTGGGAACCAATGCCTTAAGGGTTGTTTTAATAAAGTAGGCTTGCTTGATTCCTTAATTCCTTAATTACTGATGTCCAGACCAGGTGACTTTCAGTATCAGAGTACCTGGACTGGGGCTGGAGCCTTTATAACACAGGATAGTCCTTGTTAAAGACACCTCTGTCCCCCCACCTGAGATCTAAACCACCAGGGCTTTTAGCTGGCTTAAGTCAGTCTATCTACTCTCAGTCCTGCTGAGTTTAAAGTATTCCCCCCTTCCAGCTCCACCAAGACAGAACTTCACGAATCTTCTCCACGTATCACCCTCAATTGAGGATTAGTTTATGATGAGCAAGCAGGCTGGTCTCTGGCCTCTCAGACTTCCAAGAGTGAGCGTTTGTGTCTTTCTGCAGAGGTCAGGAAGCACCGCAAATCAACGCACCTGCCTGAGACCGGTCCTGAAACACGTGGTTTATATCGAATTCCATTTGGACTTTTAAGAGCCGAAAGAACTCTTGAGATAAGAAAAACATCTATGAAAAATATAATAAAACGAACTCAAAAATAAATTCTAACTAGCGTGTGATGGAAAAAGTCGGTTGGGCAAAAACCAGAAGGCACGTTGGGTCACAGGACTAGGACAGGAACCACAGTCGAGGGACTCGTACACCCGGATTAGCAGTCGATGGTCAGGTAAAAATTATTCCACAGAAAGGACTTTTGTACTACATTTGGTTTAAGACGGACATAGAAATAACTTCTAAGATGTTCTTGTATATTTTTTTTTGTTAGGCATTTGTTCTTTCCAAGTATTGAAGCACTTTTATTTAGTATTTACAATTTACAATTTAGTAGATGTGATTTCGTAGGATGGCACCGATTGGTTGCTTTTGGTTTTAGGTTTAAAAGTCACCTCCTATAGATATATTGTTGCGTTTTGTTGATAGTCCTGCATTTATTTTGGTTTCTGTGTTGATTCAAGTGGACTTAATGTTAATGCACACATAACAAAAATAGCTATTTCGCCTATTCACGTATCGGAGTGGAATAATCCGTATTTGCTGAAATCCAGGCACTGCCGAAGATCCCCCGCTAACGTCTTAATGTTCGTAAAACAATTTTATTGCAAGTCATGAACAACTGAGGCAGCAATGTGTGTTAAATCTGGACTTTTAGATGAAATTTGTAAAACTGGACCCACAAGATGTACAGTTTACGGATACTGTTAAGAGTTGGGGAAACGGTTCCACGTGGTGACTGACGAGGACGAAGTGTCGGATTTTGATGATACAGCACTGGGTTGATTTTTTTTTTTTGCATTTTTTGGGCGTCCCATGGAGTACAATGCATGCCAATAAAAAGGGCACGGCAAGAAAATGAACAGTTAGGTACTGTACGCAGTTCATCCAATCGCTTTCATAAGTGTAATATACTGCAATTCACTACCTCCCGACCCACACACCTGATCGTTTTCGTCACAACCAAGCTTTAGGTTATTTAACTGACGCAAATAGTTCGAACTTCCAGGTTCCGTAACCTTTTTTAAACATCCAATCCAGCTAGATGAGCTGAATGATTTGGTCTTCTCATTTGTAGCTATTTCTGAGAAGGAGGTTGCTTTTGAACTGCAAAGGTTCCGAGTAAGCATGATTAGTTCAATTACGTGAAGAACTCATCTGTAACCAACTGCGCAGCCACTTTATAATTCTGAACTATTAACTTGCATAATGCACTGTGGGTACAGTACATTGTTGGTAATTCATGTATGAATGGCGGGCTGAGCTGATATCTACACGGTAGCCTACTTAACATCTCCTGTCTTTAAGCACTGGTCACCGTGGTAATTAATTTGACAGACGTCTTGCACCACCTGGAGACAATTATGCACCACGCCTCTGACAGGTGGTTCAAGCCTACATGCGTTAAGCCATGAGCTGGCTGCTTAGGAACTCTGTGATAGAGTTCACAACATATCGAGTGTCATATTTGAGTTCCTGAGCTTTTTCGGTATTTGCTTCCTGGATTGTGGACCCTGCTTTGCTCTGACCTTGTTCGCTGGATTCTCCTCTAGTCCTTGTACTGTGTCTCTTGGTTTTGAGCTTTGCTTGTCTCTGTGTTTGGCTGTGGTCTGTTTGCCTGGACCACACCTGCCTGTGCTGTGCGTGCTGTCGCTGTGCCTGTGTGTCTGCTCTGCTGGCTATAAAAACCAAGCTGCTTACTCAAGCTGCTGTGTGCTTGTTTTTTCATGCCTTCTCTTGGGTTTATTTAACATAAAGATGGCCTTATTTTACTATCTCCAGCAGCAACATGTTATAGTTATGTAGCTACAGATACATCTGTTAAAAAACCGGTAACTACAATGGAAACTTATTGGTGATTATGTATTTACCTTAGATTTTCTTAAGCATTCTTAATATGCAACTGCATTACTTCATGAACCATCTTAACCAAAATATTACTGTAGATCTGTTACTACACTGCAAGCTGACTTTTAAGTATATTTGTACAACGTCGTCTCCACATCCTTTGCTACAGCAGCTGATATTGCAGGTTAATTATTTACAGTGTAGGGATGTGTACTGTAATTGATGAGCTTAATGCACTCTCGGTGCATTACACTGTACTTGCATTGTAGGTAATGTCCCTGTATTATAAAGTGTTTTTTAAAAAGGTGCAGTTGGAAAGGTACATTACTGGAGCAGTGAGCTAAGAGGAATGAGAAACCACTTGCTTGCTCCTGGACTTTCCTTTACTGGATAAGAGCTGCATCATCTTGCAGGTGTCATAGTATTCATTACATGACAGAAACTGGTCCAGATGATGCAAATAACTCCACGTATGTAGTGGGTGACACAGTGGTGCCTTGCACGGATGGGGTCCTGGGTTCAATTCCTGTGATGGGGTGCTATCTGCTCGGAGTCTGCATGTTCTCATCATGTTCGTGTGGGTTTCTTCTGGGTGCTCTGATTTCCACCCAGGGTCCAATACATATTGGTAGGTTAATTGGCTTCTGGGAAAATTGGGCCTGGTGTGCGTGTCTACCCGGTGTTGGACTGGTGTCCATCAAATGGATCCATTTTGCCTTGTCTTGCTCGGCCGGGTAGGTTCTGGCCCATATGACCCTGAACTGGATTAAGTGGTAAGAAAATGGATGGCTGGATGTAATGGTGTTCATGTAATTAACCAAGCTTCTTTATACCATATGGTGTCGCTGGAAGCCGGAGACTACCTGGCAAACAAACTCTCATCCGAAGGCAGGGTACACTCTGGATGGGACGCCAGGCCATCGCAGGGCAAGGGCAAGCCAATCATACATGGGGACAGTTTGGAGGCCTTAGTAAAGGCTGAGGGGGTAAATTTGGCTAAATTTGGTAAACTCCCTACTCTTGTTGAGAAATGCCTGGGGACCACTTAGAGTCAGGAGCTTGGTTTAACGTCTCATCCGAAAGTGTAGTGTCCCCGCCACTATGGGCATTAGGACCAACACGGGCCGCAGGGTGGGCGCCCCCTGCTGTTCCCACTAACAGTAATGGTGTTCAAGTATTCTATAAACGCGAAGACTGGAGCCTGACAGTTTGACTTGCCCAATGATTGCTTTCAAGCTGTTTTGTTAGCAGCACAGTTTAA